GGGTAAGGAGGGAAGGTTGGGCATAGGGCTACCAACCCTACCCTGTAAAACCAATCTAACCGCTAAAGAAACTTTAAAGCACAAAGAAAAGACAAAACGCAAAAGTAAACATGTTCCTCGCTGGAATCGGAGAGGCGAAATGACGCCGGTTGTTGAAAGCCTTCGGGAAGCCAATTAGCCGATATGTCTTCTCTCTCTCGATGAAAGAAAAAGTAGACATAAGGACATGGAATGTCCGCACCAAGTTTGAAGCTGTCTGGCAAGGCTACCCAGATTGCAAAAGATATAAGAAAATATAGCAGAGAAGTGCTAGGAATCTGCGAAAGCTGATGGAATGGAAGTGGACTCCCCAAACTACCAACTGGAGAGTCAATAATCTACTCCGGTATTGTCACCCAGACGACAACCACGAGCATACTGAGGGAGTGAATATCATGATGTCCTCAAGAGCATCGAAGGTCTTCATGCAGCAGAAACCATTCTCCCCCTGCAGGATCACGACAACAAGATTTAACTCCTCAAAAGGAAGGAAATTCACAATCATACAATGCTATGCGCCTACAAATAATGAACTGCAAGAGAGAAGGAGACAATCTATAGAAAACTGTAATCAGTACTAGACGAGACTCCAGTTGGTGACATCAAAATTCTTATGGGTGACATGAACGCCAAACTCGGGGCGAAAAACAGAGGAAGAGAACTCATCATGGAACGAGAAGCACTCGTGAAATGAATGAGAATGGAGAACTGTTTTCAGATTTCTGCGCATTCAACGATGTGGTGATTCGAGGTAGTGTATGCAAACACAATGATATCCACAAAACGACGTGGCTTTCACCAGACATCAGGACACACTAAAAATCAACCTGATTTCATCTCAATCTCAAGAAAGTGGAGACGCAGTCTACTGGACATAAAATCAAGAAGCAGACGTATGTTTAGACAACCATCTGGTGCAGGGAAACTTCAAAATAAAGTTCAAAGCCTTCAAAAAAGCTGGTCATAGACCACAGTTGAAGTTCAACACACGGAAACCGAAGGACAAAACTATGACGGATATTTTCACGTCAGCCAACACCACAAAATGTGAGACATTGAGCAACACCCGAGGAAGATGCGCGGAAGAAGACTGGAACTCTTTGGAAGAGCCGTGGAAGGAAACCTGCATAACTATATTAGGAAGGAAGGGGAAAGAAGACAAGGAATGGATCTCAATGGACACATGGAAGCTGATAGAGTAGGGGAAGATGGTGAAGCACAAGATGAACCAATCCAGTGCAGAGCATGGATGAACAAAGAAAAGAAGGAACTGAACACAACCTACAAAACACTACACTGGACGAAGAATTGAAGAAGAGTGCGCATAAAGACAAAAGATACTTCTACGACACACAACAGAAGCAAAACAGGCTGCAGGTAGGAGAGACCTGACAACATCATACCAAATAAGCAAAATACTATCTGGCAATAGATCAATGCAGATGAAACCAATGAAAGATAGCGAAGGAAAGCTAGTTACCAAAGGGGGGGAACAAAGGAAACGATGGGCTGATCACTTCAAAAAACTCTTAAATCGACGACCACCACCACCTGCAGCTCGTCCAGAAATACCACCAGCAGCCTAGCCACAGAATTACCAGTGAACACAAGCCCTCCAACAAAAGCCGTCATAAAGTTGCTGAAATCCGGGGAAGCAGCAGGACCAGATGGAATTCCTCCAGAAGCACTAAAAACACGCAGAGACAACAGCGGACACGCTCACACCACCATTGCAGAAGGGTGGAAGGAAAGGTACCTACCTGCTGACCGGTTGGAAGAAGGGCTGCCTTTTCAAACTTTCAAAGGGAGACCTAAGCCTTTGCAAGAACTGGTACGGAATTGCATTCCTGTTCCTATCCACCCCAAGCAAAATATTAGGCCGCATCATCCTGGAGAGACTAAAGGATGCGCTGGAATCAAAATTACGACCGGAACAGGCCGGATTCAGAAAGTACAAATCATGTGCGGATCAAGCTGCAACGCTACGCATCATCATAGAATAGAGCGTAGAATGGCAGTCAACTTCATCGACTTTGAAAAGGCCTTCGACAGCATCGACCGAGAAGTAACTTGTCAGCTTCTTCAACACTACGGATTCAGTGCCACAAACCTTTATCAAACTTATTCAACAGCTATATGATGAAGTGATGCTACATGCCAAGTGATTCACAATGGAAAGCTTGGTGATGTCTTTGAAGTAAGGATAGGGGTAAGGCAAGGTTGCCACCTACTATCACCGATGATCTTTCTGATTGTGGTCGACTAGACTGAACCGGATCATGCAACAAACCGTGAGGAGCAGGATGAGGGGAATACGCTGGTTGTACCGATGAAAAGACCCTAAAAGATTTGGATTTTGCCGATGATGATGTGTCTAATGTCGCACAAACTCGAAGATCTACAGGCAAAAGCCAGTAAGTTGACAGAAGAGGCAGCGAGGACGGGACCTCCTTTAGGTGAACGTAGAGAAGACAGAGGTGATGGAGGTACCCAACCAGCAACAACAACAAGCACCGATCACCATCAACGGCAGGAAACCCAAAGTAAGTAGTCTCTTTCACCTACCCAGGCAGAATCGTTTCAATTACAGGTGGTGGCGCAGATGAGGACGTCAAAGCCAGGATCGGAAAGACAGCAAGACAGGCCTTCATTAACCTGAAACCAGTGTGGAGATCTACCGCACCCAGCATAAAGAACACCCGGATTTTCAACACTAATATCAGTTCAGTGCCTCTGAATGGTTCAGAAACTTGGCGCGTTACGAAAAGCATTTCAAACAAACTACAAACATCCATCAACAGCTGCCGCCTACGCTCACTCGATACTGAAGATAAGATGGATGACCAGAAAAATACGAATAAGCAACAGGGCAACGAACCAACGAACCGAGAACCCATCGCCCAACAAATAAGCAGAAGAAAGTGGAGATGAATTGGGCATACACTAAGAAGACCTTTTGGGGACAGCACGCGCCAGGCCAGACCCTCGAGTAGAACCCAAAGGGGAAACGACGAGTTGGACGTCCGAGGGTGAAATGTTCCACTAGGAACCCAAGGGACAAATTATAAAATTATAATAACAAATTACATGCAGCGTTAAGATGGCAGCATCAAGTACAATAAGCTTTCTTCAACGAAACAGTACATTAAACTGTGATCATAAGTCACTTATCTAACTCTTTTAATTTGAATACATGAAGGAAGTGATTTTCCCAGAAAGTAAGTAAATCACACTTTTTGTAAACTAGTAATTTGTAAGTGAACTTCATACTCTAATTGTGAGAGGAACTAACTACTAATAAGCATAACCTCATGAAAAACAATCAATAAACTAAGGAGTTAGTCTTGTTTTGGTCTAGTTTTTTATACTGTATATGTAGCACCTAGTACAACAAATGGAGAATGGGGACGGTTTGGCACATGCAAATATCACAGCTGCAGTCAGTGCATTTATCAAGTCGACAGATTTGTTCCCGTTACTAAAAATTCCATGGTGAACTTAAAAAGTTCTTGTTCGGTGATTTCATTAAATGTGGATGAAACTTTTTTTTAAATTATTGTTCAAAAGCCTTTTCATACCTTTAAACTAAGAGAGAAATACTTTGCTACCATAAAAAAAAGCAAAAGATGGTGGATCCTACATCAGAGATGCTATGCCCGTAATTCATAACATTCTTCATGACCCAAACGTGACACAGGCTAGTACATATGTAAATAATCCCTTAAAACCCACTAAGGGATTTCATCGACCACCAGTGTCATGTAAGAGACATAGCGGTGAAAAGTAGAAGATATGAAGCGGTTGCAAGTTTTTTGACCATAGGTGTCTTTCAAGCATTCCTCGAATATACTGGAACCATTATGCTCAGGTCAAACGAAGAGTACTAGGCAACAAAGGCAAGTGAGACAGTGAGGTTGTGAATCTCCACCTACTGGGGTGGATTGAACATGTGTTGAGTATGTCGAGCTACCGTCTACCTCGAAGTGCAATGATAAAAGTTGGATTGAGTTGGAAGGCTTATAGTGACCAGACAAACGTGGCTACAATCTATGAAGTCTTTAACTCCTGGTCTGAGCCAAGTAGGGAGGTAAGGGCTACCTGGCTGAGGGCCCGAGAAGATAGGAACCACTGGTTGAGACCCTTGGGGAAATGGCTGGAAATAACTCACAATGACGTCTTCTAAAGTTTGAATATTTCCGAAAACTTTGTCTTTAAATTTTCTCTTTCCTCATACACCTTTATTATTTAATATCATTCTTTTTCTACTCACTTGTTCCATGCATACTACTTTGAAGTGTAGCAACTTGAACCGATATGTGAGGTACTAGGTTGGTTTTGTCTGTTTATCTGTCTGTCAGTGTGTCACGGCCAACACAATTCACAGCATCCAACAACAATCTTCTTATTGTCAAACGTCAAGTTGATGCTCACTAGTTCCAAATGAAAGTTTCGCACCTGCTACACATTAAGCTCATCGTTATACTTTGCATCTCTATCTGACAACTCCAAGTAGATCGGAGGCGGTAGGCAGATGTCTGCCATGTGTATGACCAACAACAAGCACCACTTTTCGATTCAAAGACGTGTAACGTTGACCGCGTAGCAAGTCACCACCAGAAATGTTTGGGGATGCGCAACACGTCTAAGTTTCTTCGACACTGCATGTCCATAATACTTACTTTCGAACGAATCTTCCCCACCCTCTACTTGAAACCATAGTCATGCAGAGATGCATCACCAAATAAAAGTAATACTATTGTTTGAAGACTGCACCTATAATAAACTTAAGTTTTTTGGGCCTCAGTTCCTGAATTTCGAACGTAGACACCAGTGCACAAAATACACAGTACACACGTTTCAGATATCCCTCAGCTGCATAACACCATGCTACAAAGCCCATCCTTCATTATACAATACTAGTCGCATACTGAATAAAAACACGAAAAGATATAAAAACTTACCCTCAATCCATAGCCTATCAAAATCGGTATCGACAGTAACTGCTTTCAAACCAAAGCAAAATAGGCCAAGTAACACAACAGAACCGAGTACCTTCCAATGATACAGGCAAATAAACTCCTCCAAACATAGGAATTTTGACCTCCACCACCAATGAAGAGTTGTGCGATAGGCAGGACCATAAAATATATTCTTCAAAACTATATTTTTAAACTGAGAACCTACCTCAGAAAACTCTCCAGGGTTCTTACTGTTCGCACTGCTTGGCGACAAAGATTCCAAGATAGTTTTGCTGCCAGAGCAGCTTGTGTTTGGTCTCGAAGCACATTCAACCGGTAATCCATCAAAAACAAACTGTCTAGCACTTTTCATATCTCATATAAAGTTTCCCTGAGAGTTACTATGTGAGAACATTGTAAAGGAAAACTTTTTTGAGGAATTCCACTGAGATATCATTTGTCTACAGGAAATACATGAAACTGGAAAACAACTGTAACAATGACAGCAAAACACAGAACTAATAATTACAACGCCCGCTGTGGACCTTGAAAGAAATTTACGCCGCTTGGTAGTTCAGTATGAAATAGAGAGTTAAAACAACTCGTCATATGAACAGGCTGACATGAAACTGTGAGTTTCACTCTCCAGCAATATTCAGTAATGGCTAACTCGTTTCTTTTATGAGTAAAAAACTTTCCAGTGAGCGGCTGAGAAATTCTCTAGTAAAGTTCAACTCTTAATCACCTTTTAAAGTATCACCAAAGACATCACTTAACCTGATGCTTCTCAAGCTCATTTTAGTCTTACGAATGAATATCAATAAAAAGCAGCCAAAAAGTAGTGTTTAGGATTTTCGACTAAATCAAGGCTTAAAAACAAGATATTTTGTCAAGAAAAAAAACATTATTAAAAGTATAGAAATTAAATTTCGATGCGGACCAATAAACAAAATCGTTTTCCTAGCAGACATTATTTGATTAAATACCTTTATGTCGACAGTTGCACACATCACTAACCAGACGTTGGCAAAAGTTCGTTTTCACTGAAATGGCAGTCAGCATTCGTTCTAAGTTTACGTCAAGTCAGATGCTATCTTGATCTTTCAGATTGGTTACAATCGTTTCGATGAGGGGGATTTAACAGAATCCTGAACACATATTCCCACAATGACGCCCTAGCCTGCAAAGAGTTTTAAAGCACTGTAATCAGTGAAGAAGGGCCCTACGTAGAGTCCACCGTGATGCAAGACGAAAATAACTCTTTAAAACTTGAGCTGTTGCCATTCACGTAAAACAATTGGATCCTCGGTGGCTGCTTACGGCTTGGCTATCAGAAAGGGGTGGTTAGTACCCTCCGTGCATACTTAATGTTTGCTGGAGGGACTCAGCGACCAGTCCACAGACGGATTTTGGAAAATGCAGGTTCATGCAAAACCATAACCAAACAGTTCTCCACGAAGTGCATCACCGATGCACATTAGCTGAGTTACTACAAATCACTGTAGATATCTTTATGGGGTGACTGACATATGGTGACAAATTAAATCAGTCCGCGTCTCAGACCAATGGACATCCGGGCTCCAGACAGTAAACATTTGGATTTCAACAGTTTCAGAAAAATGAGGCTATGGCTTGATGACAGATAATGATTAGCAATGGTTTGTTATTTAACTAGTTCATCATCATTTCGTATTCCTACTACTGACTTATAAGTGATTGTTTGACGGATTCTATCAGATCACTCTATTATGGCGTTTCCGAAGACATTCGACACACCGATATAATTTTTTATGCACTGGATATTGACTAACGATAACCAGCAACAAGTTTCCAAATTTCTTGTCTTTCATCCCTCACTCTCCTTTCTACTGTTTGTGTACTGTTGGTGGTTTTGGTCAGAATAATTCAAGCGATGCGAAGTCTCCTATCCTCTCACAGCTGGAATCAAATACGTTACAGTGCTCACACTGAAGTCACACGTCATAAGTATTTAGATTTGACTGCAAGTACCCTTATTTAACTATGTTTCCGTTGATTTTGTCCATTTCAGAAATGTAATCCGGGCACTGAAAGCTTGCTGAAAAGGCACGTTTCATAGTCCAATTTTTCTACACATTCGCTCATGGTTATTCTATAAGGAAAGTATCAAATGTCTAAATAGTGCGTTGGCAGGTTTTGAGACATTGTACTATTCCTACATGGCAACTTACAGTTAAGTGGTTCAGCCATCCTTAAAAGCTTCCATGAGAAATATCAACCTGAATCGACTGAAGTGACCAAAATAAGTCCTTGGTCGTGTCTTAACAGGTAACCTGCTGGCTAATCGATATCCGACCAGCCTATGCTCGCTATTGGCAAATTTCTAACAGATGACGCCTTATTAAAGCCGCATATAAAGCATTTAATATGTAAAAACAAAATATCACCAAGATGAATTTGATGAAGGACGATACAACTGAATGGATCTCTACCAGTTTTCGCAATTCAAACCTGCTAACGGAAGTGGGCGGAAATGTAAAGACAGAAAGGGAAAGTAATTCCGATAAAAGATAGTTTCTTAGGATGCTCATGAAATCATTTCAGAATCTTAGTCACATCCATCCCTTCGCCAGAATATTGTCATCGAACCACCCTTGACTCAGAAGTTATACAAGATAGACGGCGAGGAGAGGTGCCAGGGTTAACGTAAAGATAATCGACGTGACTCGTCGCCGTACCACTGTACGCATGAGAACGGGACGGCCTAAGTGCACAATCAACATGTCGGATCAGTCTATCAGCCACTAATTGCTCTGATCACGTTCGTTCATGCCCATCTTATTTGGGCCGCATCTTTCAGTTCCCAGAGAAGTGAGTTCAAGTTCATCTCAACTTTGTGATGATTCCCAATTTCACCACGATGCTCAAAGTCACCTCAGTACCGTGTTACGTATCTGTATTGTCTTTCCAGTTTTCCGGCATACACTTTAGCGTCCTATTTTCCTTCGCATTTTAATGACGAGGGTTTCTAAACAGCATGCATCTAAAAGAAGGAGTTTTTATCAACCTGTTCAGACTGACACATAATGGGATCACCGGGGCTTCTAGATTCATGACCTCTTCAGAAATCTGACGGAAGCTTGGCACGTTAAACTCAGCAAGCCAATTTTCAAGTAGTATCTCCATTTTCGACCAAGCACATGGTTAGCTACCGGACGGCGGAGTGAAGTACTGCAACAAGACAAAACATGTCGCTTTGTTGTAAGCCGCGATCTGGGGCTTCGGGTTCGTAGGAGCTGCTTAACGCAGTTGCACCACTCTGCTAACAAATAACAGTAAGAAGAGGAGATATGCAATGAACCTAATGGTGGCGAGTGTGCCTGGATGAGACAACTTGTTTAACGTTTAGATGATGCTGCATTGACCACTATTTGCAAATGTTGAACGTGGCGGCTGGCACACAGCATATAAAACTATATGTCCTCCAGATCCGGGAAGATGCGGGTGACGCTTAGAAGCTGCAGACGATATGTAATACATACGATAGCTCAGCTGACGATCTCGTTTATGATGACGGGTCACCTAAAGAAGGTAGTCAGCAACGTAGGTTCCACTGAAGATGTAAACTATTGTAAGGTGGCTCTTGGGTCATACGTGTTCCAAGGCATGTACACTAGGTGCTCAACTTCCGTCCTCTTTTGCCTAGGTGCTCGCGCCAACAACGGATGCAGCACGCACTTCCGAATGTCTTATGAGTGGTTGTAACTCCTCATCAGAGAGGGCTAAAAGACTTAATTCCAGACTTCCAGGAGAAGTTACAGGCTTCTACGTACACATGTGTAAGTGCTTAAGAACGAAATATGTCTCTGTTTTCGTCATGTCCCATTGTGTATAAAATTGCTATTAGATAAATATTGACATGTTTTTTGTACTTCTATTTCTGAGACTTCTCATGCAAGGGTTGTTGGTAGGAAGCAAAGAATTTTCATTTAAGTAAGTTTAAGTAAGATAATAGTATGTTTCAGTCGCATAGCAAGCAGGACAATCGGTGTGCTTGGCGTTTAGGGCAGAGGCACTCAGAAAGCCCGTTGAATTTTGGGCCAAAGCTTATGTGCTGCGAGTAATCGGTTGGGGTCACAGATCTATTGTAGGTATGAGCCTCTAAGTGTTGACTTAGTGAAGCGATGGGTGTTCATGTGATTCATCCTTTACCTGTGTGTTTGATATTGCTCCAAAAGTGATAAAAAATGTAGTACAATTTGGTCCTAGTGCATTCCGTTCATTCAAGGGCGAAAACGACTACCGCAATGACGTACGCATCACAGGTGGGGAATTTGTTCACATATTTAAAGTGATCTACAGCGATATGAATACGGCCAGCTACCAAATGAAGGTTTTCAATTAAATAAAGCATATACTGTTTGAAAGCGCATACAGGCTGCCTTACAACCAATCCGTAAGTAATTTCATCGGGCTAACTGACTACTCAATGGCGAAGCAGTCACTTATATAAGCTAATGGTGTGCGGCATTAAGTAAACCTCGAGCGCATAAAAGTTGGATTTATGCATTCGGCATAAGATGGAAGAAACAGAGTTTGATGTTAAAAAGGTTCCGAAAAAACAGATACCAGACAAAGATTTTAAGAAGTTTCGGGCCAAAACGGTATTCACTGGATTGTTTCTGGAGCTCAAATCTAACCCACATATTCGCCCCTGGCAAAGACCGGATAGGACACTTACTGATTATTACTATTTCTCCCTCAGGTTCCTAATGGAATATAGGGCATCAGCGGCACGTCTACACCTCACTCTCTTCTCTGCAGACTTTTCAACCCGACTCCACGACTGCCCAGAAGCATCCATTTCTTCCTCACATGATCTCCATGTCACCCTCGGACGTCCAACTCGTCGTTTCCCCTTTGGGTTCTACTCGAGGGTCTGGCCTGGCGCGTGCTGTCCCCAAAAGGTCTTCTTAGTGTATGCCCAATTCATCTCCACTTTCTTCTGCTTATTTGTTGGGCGATGGGTTCTCGGTTCGTTGGTTCGTTGCCCTGTTGCTTATTCGTATTTTTCTGGTCATCCATCTTATCTTCAGTATCGAGTGAGCGTAGGCGGCAGCTGTTGATGGATGTTTGTAGTTTGTTTGAAATGCTTTTCGTAACGCGCCAAGTTTCTGAACCATTCAGAGGCACTGAACTGATATTAGTGTTGAAAATCCGGGTGTTCTTTATGCTGGGTGCGGTAGATCTCCACACTGGTTTCAGGTTAATGAAGGCCTGTCTTGCTGTCTTTCCGATCCTGGCTTTGACGTCCTCATCTGCGCCACCACCTGTAATTGAAACGATTCTGCCTGGGTAGGTGAAAGAGACTACTTACTTTGGGTTTCCTGCCGT